TTTTCAAAAAAATTTCATTACATATTTGCAATTTAGTCGGGTCAAAAAATAAAAGATGTGTCAATAGTGTATAGTATTTGTTGCATTTATTTCAATAGTGTATTAAACACAGATGAAACAGATAAACCTGCATAAAGACATCAAGGTAGATGTTGGATTTTGTTCAGTATGAATAGCTTCAAAAAAAGTTTCTGAGTAAACATAGAGGAGGGAGTGCGAAATGAAAAAAAAAAAGAGAGGGTGAGGGGAGGAGGAGAAAGATTTGACTAAAGTGGTTTAAATAAATATGCAATTATTTTCTTTTCTTCTTTTTTTTTTTTCAAGAAAATTTTTGATCACTAATGTAAAAAAGAACGAGTAGACTTTTTGTTTTCGTTTATTCAGTTGATGATCGAAGAACTTTTATGTATACAGTACGTTGCTGTTCTGAACATTTGTGCATGGCTGCTGATGGTGCTGCTGTTATTACTGTTGTTTCTGCTCTTATTGGCGACGACGACAATGATGGTGTTGCTGTAATAGAGGAAAGTTCTGAGAAGTTTATGGAAATATATGTTATGGCATTTTTTGCTTTCTTTTTTTATTATCACATGAACAGTGTAAAGTTGATCTTAAAAGAATTAGTAGAAGAAGGACAAGAAACAGAAGATAAAGAAGAAAAAGAAGAAGGAGAAGAAAAATAAAATGAAGAAGAGGAAGAAGAATAGGAAGAAGAAGAAGAAGAAAAAAAATAAGAAAAAGAAGAAGAAAACGGTGAAAAAGAAAAAATTGAAACGGCGTGAGCATCCTGAAGCCAACGAAGGTGTACGTGGGGGGTCATCGTCGCTGTTGCTGTTTTGTTGCTATTGGTGTCCGCCAATGCAAGTAGATTCTCCGAAAAAAAATTTTTTTTTGCAACTAAATGTAGAATGTGGTTAACTTCTTTGTAACTGGTGTATAGATGTTTTTTTTGGTGCAATACGTATGTGCATTAATTTATTCTGCTGACCGTAAGGAAGAAAAAAGAGTGAGAAAAAAGCAGTATGTGACTTAAAAGACGTAGTAATAATATAGGTGAATAAAGACATCATTGTTTTATAATTACTTCACTTTTCTTAATTTTATTTTATGATTATAATATGTTCTCTTGTACTCTTTTTTTGCCCCTGAAATTTCAAGACTTATTTGTTAGATAGATTTGAAGTCTTTTGATCTGTAATGATGTGTTAAAAGTAGCCTGTGTAATTTATTTGTATCCTAAGACCCAAAAATGCTGTATTGATAAGCGGTCTGAAATGCTGTCAGGTGCTGCTTGATCAACTCCGGAAATTACAGTTATCACCAATGTTGCTGATGATGAATTTTCTTCTAGTGGCCAGCACTAGGCGAGATGAATTTAACGTTCTCGCGGTATTTTTGTCTTATTACACCTCTTAATAAGCTTTAGGCTTCAAGATTTTTTTGTAGATGTTTTGAAAAGTGAAGAGGTTACCCGGTGGAATAGCCGACATTCTGATGCGGTCAGGACAAAACTGCTCAGTTTAATGGTATTCCGATCTCAATCTTGCCTTTAATTCCGGTATCAACGTTGTTTTAATACCACGTTTTTGTCTGCTCCTATTACCCGGTATATAGCCAAGCACTAACGCTTTTTATCAGTTATCAGCGAAGTGGTGAAAGGAGAAAAAAAAGAGGAAACAAAAAAAAAAAAGAAAAAATAACGATGTTAGTTGATTATTTACAGAATTATCAGTAACTTTTTCATACCACTGGTGATCTGTCTATCCGCTTAAATATTTTTCTACCTAATTAAAGTTTTGACTGTAGAAAAAAAAGGAATGTTTTGGCATCAAATGATGCCGACTATTATTTTAACATTAATTTATTTGCATAATTCTCTTCTTTTGTTTTTTTTTTTTTCTGTATCTTTTGAACAAATAGAAGAAAAAAAATCTCATCTATTTCTTTCTTTTTCTGCTTACTTGTTCAATCTGCTTCTATTTCCTCTACCTTTGTAATTTTTTCTACGTTTATTTTTGAAATGCTTATTATCGAAAAAAAAAAAAAGGAAAATAATTTATACCAAAGAGGAGAAAAATTCCGTGGAATAACGACTGCATGGCGAATATTACTATTGATGTTTGCTGAAAGAATAAAAGATAAAGTGAAAATAATTCATATATTTTTCCTCTTCCCAAAACCTAATTAATTCACGAATCAGTAAGGGAAAAAATAGGTATTAAACTGTTCAACAGATAAAAAATGGAACGCAAATGGAAGCAGTAAATTTGATGTTCTTTTTGTTAGTCTGTTATCGTTGTTACAACGGCCAACAAATTGGCAACACCAACTATTAACACATCCTGAAAACTGTTCAGTAACTCTCATTCATCAAACTTATACCTTTGTTTACTGATATTAATATTTATATATATAAATATATTTTAAGAAAAAAAAAAAAAGGAATTTTTAGTGAACAAAAAAGGCTGTTGAAAGAAGAAAATAGTTTTGATCAGCATCATCACCATAGCCATTGTCATCGTCATCATCAGCATCAGCAACAGCATCTTCATCATCAATGATCATCCTGAATGATCACCAAAAAATTCTTGGCAAAAAAAACAAACAAAAGAATTTAAAAATTTTGCTCAAAAAAAATTTTTTTTTTTTATGTTTGCTCTGACATAACGAATTGATTTTTGTACATTTCTACTGATTTTTTTCGTTTCAGCTTCATTTTCGTCTGTTTTGAACATATCTTCATTTTGCTCTTTTTTTTTTTTTGTTTGCACCTTAACGGACGTACCAAATAAAGGCAACAAAGTTCTAAAGGTTTATTTAAGTCAAACTTTTTTTTCTTTTTTGATTTCTTTAATAAACTAACAATACGGTACTTTTTTTGCTGCTGCTGCTGCTGCTTTCTTTTTTTTGCTGGCCAAATTTTATTGAATTTCAATTTCCAATTTTTTCTTTCCTCTGTTTTATAATTCTAAAAAAAGACAACTGTCATGTTTTTTTGTTTAGTCGTTAACCACGAGTTCTTTTTTTGACGTTCCTTCATCATCGTCTTGTTCTTGTTTTGAAGTTTTTTCTTTCTCGTTGTTGCTCTTGCTAACAGTCAGGTTTAGATAATTGAATTTTATGAGAAATAGTAGAGGAGAAAAGACGTATAAACATAAATTCTTCTGCCTTTTTTTTTCTTTTTTTTTTTTTTTTTTTTTTTTTTTT